ATTAGATATTTTTAAAATATATGATCAGTTCAAAATAAATTACCTACTAGATAAAATATTTATAAAAACTTATGAATGGATGTTGTGTTGATACGAAAATATTACTCCTCCGGTCCTAATTATAAGACCCAATTGACTTATTTGAAGAGATTAAGGAAGTAAGTTAAGTTGGTTATTTATAATAAATAAGTGTTGTCATTCCTAAAATATCCTTGCTAATTAAGTATATTGGCTAAAACTATTATTATTATAAGGATTATCTTGGAAAAAAATGTATAAATATAAGAGACAAAATGGATTGGGGTCTTATAATTAGGACCAAATAAAAAATCAAATAGGGTCTTATAATAAGGACCAGAGGAGTATTAGAGTGGAAAGGAAGTATTATATCACCCCAAAGATTGACCATACTCCTTTCTTAACCTTGCTTTAAAACTGTATGCCAATTTTCCTATTAAAATCTGAATTGATATGGAAAGGGGTGATGTGATATGGATTGATAAGTATCCATGCATGGAACAAATATCGTATGGTATCACATTTATGTAAATTATTGGTAAATATACTTTTTTTCAAAGTATGAGTGCTGTAAATCTAAAATTTGCAAGCAGTTTTAAAAAATGCATGACCAAAAAACATATTTCTTAATGTCAAATCTGTGGATGAACAACTATGAGTAATTATTATGTATTGAAAAAAAATGTACAGATACTGTTATATGTTTCAGCACGATGATTGACTTTTTTCCTCGTACATGAGGGAGTACGAGGGAAAATGGTTAAGAATAAATAAAAGGACAATCGGGGGATAGTCCGGGGGTAACGAGTTGAATCGGGGGGGAAAATGGGCGAGTCAACCCAGGGCGTGTTGGTGATCGGATCGGGGCATGGCGGTGGAAGTTTTTATTTGGACCTGGAGGCGTCTCTTCCAAAAGTTGAAACGGAAATCAAAAGGGCGAATTAGAGGGAACTTTGGCGGGAACAATCATTCTCCTAAGTGGAATTTCCCGCTAATTTCCCCCGAAAAATAAAAAAGAATTCTTTATTGTAGCATGCAACGGTCACGCAAGCAAATGTACATAGCCCGCCCAGTTGGGGCGGCCAGTTGTTAGATTGTACGTTTGGGAGTATTGCTCTTGCACCAAGCTGTGTTCCTATTGGAATTTTTTTTTTTAAAGCATGACTTGTATGAAAAATTTAAAAAATTTAAATGTTCGGTCGTTTCCTTTTCATTTTTGTAAATGGGTATTTCGCATCAATGTTGAGGGTTGAAAAAGTTAATTGAACAAAATTTATGATGTCCCCTTATTGCAATTTATATGATTATGCTTCTTTTCGCCCGCGATTGATTTTGGGGCACCCTCCCGAAGTGTGACTAGCAATTTGGAGGAGGAGGGACGCATGGAATGAACTAGAAGTGTGTGAGGAGAAAAAGATGTTGATCTCATCAATGGCAGACATGGACGACGTGGAGTGAGTTTAGAGAATCATAGAATGCTTTATTTCTTTATTTGCTCGGTTTATTTGCTAGATATTGGTGTCGGATGTAACGCATTAACCAACTAGTTATATTGTTCATAAATTAGGAAATTAACACGGTAGATAATGATTGGTACTTTTTTAGGCGGAGAGACCATAAAAGTGAGTCCTATCTATTTTAATAAAATATTTTTCATATATATAATAATCGCAATATTAAAGCACAGAAGACGCATTTATTAAAAAAAAATCCAACAAAAAGTGGTCCATCTCTGTTATTAATCGATGAATCTGAACTGCACACAGGCAACATTGATAGATGATCGATGTTCTCGTCTTGCAAAATTTTATTGGGTTTGAGTTCAAACCCTGCCTTGTTAATTTTAGCATTTTATAAAACCACTCAGTCTAAACTTTCACCTGTTTAGTTAGCTCGGGGTATATGCACACGTATTTTAAGACCTGCCTCTACCAAAGCCCGTTATTGTCGTGCATTGTTGCATGAAGTTTAAAATTTACTATATTATTTACAACTTATAAATGACACATTCTATCAAAAGCCTTGATATTGTATTCAACACGATAGGTATAAGCTAAACATTGATAATAATTGACTGCTTGTGTTGATAATTGAATATCACGACGACTTGCATACAAAATCAATATTGATGGATCTTGCTTGGCCTTAATTTCTAGTTTCTGTAAACGAAGCTACCGTTTTTATTCCAATACCATCCATACCAACCTATATTTTTTTGATGATGCCTGAATAAGTAAATATATCAGCATAAAATACCAATTTCCACATGGGTAAAATTTACACATCTTGGCTTCGTCACCACGGGAATGACAGAAAAGTTGCTAATCTTCACATCTAACATTGTTGGTGTGAAATGCACTGCGATATGTGTGCTGGAGACATGGTCAGCTTCACAGTGAAAAATGACTCATAATCAGATGAAAATGGTTGCCAGGATCCCTTCATTGTTTTCTCAGATGATAAGATGCATGCTGACGTGTTAATGGGAGTAAGTGGGAACACAGAGATGTGGGCCAATGACCAGTGTTATGCTGCCATGGTATCATCTGTCTCAGAGGATCTCAAATGCACCAGTTCACCCGCGGGTAAGGGAAATTTGTTAGTTCTCCTTTGTTCGTTATTCTGTTCGTGCAGCGCCTAACTGGATGTACAGAGCTAGTATCTCCCTGGTCTCCGATTCTCTGGAACTCGTCATGATCAGCAAGCCTATACTCGTCTATAAGCAAACTGGCTTCTCTCCTCCAAGAACTCTACGGGATGATATATTTCACTCGAAGCAAAAATTTTCTTCCATTTCTTTTAGGACTTGTCGCAGGAATTTGTTATTCTCCCTAATTGTGTAGTCAACGTCTTTATCCTATTTCTTACCCTGTATTTTAACCCATTTTATTATTATAAATTATTATTATTTATTTAAAAACGAAATAAATTCGTACTGGGAACATTGGAATAACAGTGAGGAACTAATAATGAGAATAAAGGACCTGATTTATGAATTGTGAATGGAGGCGAGCAATAAATGCCCTGACAAAGAGAATAAGTTGTGATTAGGGACCCTGATGAGCATCCTAAGCTTATCAGACGTGCTGAATAGTCCTGTTCTGATTTTTTTTATTTGTTCAGAATAATTATTTTACTATGTATAGAATCTAAAATAGAGGCAATCTCTTAACTCTCATATTTTTAAAAAATAATTTTTTCTATTTAAGAATAATTAATTAAAAATTTTAAATCCAAACTGTCCAAATGAGACTAGAGCCGATGAGTTTCAGGTGCTCATCAAGGTGATAAGTATTGAAACTGGTTCCTTATTATTATTAGTGGGCTTTTACGTGATAATTGTGTAACCTCCCTACACGCAATGCCTCCTATTTATAGGTAATGGTGGCAGAGGCTCGCCACATTCCACGTTTATGGAGCTTCGGTCACAGCCCACCGTGTTTATGCCCTCCTCTCATTAAATTGTCTATTTGGGAAATTGGTTTTAAGACTTGCTGACTTTATGTTGTTAGCACATTATTTATGTAAGTCAAGGCAATATATTTTATATCCGCTTTATTTACACCTACAAATTAAAAAGCACAAAGCTTCCATATGATGCCAGAATATTAATATTTCGCACTAAACTCAACTTTCACATAGACTAGTACTACTTACTGGTCATGGCTCAATTTAGCTGAAGAGGTTAAGAAATTCTGAAATTAAGTTCTGAAAGCTTTCTTAAAATCGTCAAAAGATTTATTCAAGATACATGCTAACGACATTGAGATTTATCACAGCTGATAGAGTAATTTTAAAGGAAAAATTATAATGAGGTTTTAAAGAAAGAAAATAATTATTATTAAGTTCTAATGATAAGTGAGCAGTCGTCACTTATTATTTTAAAACTTATCATTATGAGTTGTTCTGTTGTTATTGAAACAGAGCAATTGTCACTTACTTATCCTGTTCTAAATATAAGACCTTTATATATATAAAGGTCTTATATTTAGGACCGGATGAGTATTATTCTAAAACTTGTTATTACAAATTATTTTGTTGTTATTGAGACTTTTTAATAGTTATATTATTTATTTAGGTTTTTATAACAATTATCCCAATCTGAAATTTCAAATCACTACCAACAATAGAGAAAAAGTTTAAGGGTCCGTTTGGATCAGCGATTGGAAAAGCAGCTTATAGAAAAAGTAGCTTATGGAAAAGTGAAGTTGGTAAAAGTTAAATTGGATAAGCTGAATTGTGTTTGGATTGGAGTTCAGACAAGCTAGTTTACAAAAATGAGATTGGAAAAAGCTTGTTTGGATTATAGTTGAGTAAAAGTAATTTTGGCTGAAAAATTATCAAAATGGGCATGGGTTTTAATAAATAATGAAACATGATTAAAAAAATAATTTCACATAATACAATGAAATTAAAATAATTTAATATGGAGAAGTCATAAAAAATATTTTAAATATAAAGTGAAACATGAAAAAATAAAAGTATATTTTTAGGAGCATATTTAAAAATAAAAATATATTTCTAACTTATTCATTACTTTCAACTAATTTTAATTGATTTTTTATTATCTACAAATTAGTTATTTGAGGCTTATAATAAGAACCAAAAGAAGTAATAAATTTCTTAACTTTCTCTCTCTCCATATTTCAAAAGCCATAAGCCATAAGCTATAAGTCATAAGCTGTTAATTTTAGCTTATAGCTTATTGTAGCTTTTCAGACAAAAGCCCGATTGCAAAAAAGCTGATCCAAACAGACCCTACTTTTGTCAATCGAGCTTATAGAGCTTATAGAGCTTATAAGCTACTTATAAGCTTCAAATAAGTGTTGCCAAACAGGCACTAACTCTGTCCCTGTTGAGGCGGAAAAAAAATGGCCTTGATGCCCAAACAAAACGCCGCGTTTCAGCGCCGCACTGGAGATGGCGGGAAGCAGGAAGGCGTGAAACGAATGTGTCAGGCGCGAACTCCCGCCATACACTGAAGTGGCCTCGAGCCTCATTGATGCATTCATCAATTTGAAAACTTCACCAATTCATTCAAACTCCGTTCTAACTTCTACGCGAGCCTCAACACTCCTGGCTTTCTCATACTCAGCTTCGGTTCTCGGCTGCTGGCATCTCTCAATCGCTCTGGAACGCTTAGAACCAGGTTAGGGTTAGGGCTCTGCAACATGAGGAATAATAAGGTTGTAGACCAACAATTATCTACTGTCCGATCCATCGTTGGCGCTGAGTATTCTGACATGGATATCATTAGAGCCCTGCACATGGCTAACAATGACCTCACCGCCGCCATTAACATCATCTTTGATACCCCCAAGTTCAAATTGAAAGAGAGGTTAAGTGTGGGGACTCAGAGGAATTCACAAGTTTCGCATCGAAGTTCAAGCTCTGATGCTGGAATTGGAGGTGGAAGTGTCACGGTGAAGTCCAAGCCAACTGCTTCTGAGGACAATAATCGATCTCTGGGGTCGGAAGCAAATGTTGCCGACTCGGTTTCCAACTCAGGTGATTGTACCGCCGAGGATGTGGGAGGGCCTTCAAGTTCAGCTGCAAGTGATTGGTGGTTCGTGGGTTGTGGGGAAATGGCGGGTCTTTCGACCAGTAAAGGGAGGAGTATGAATCCTGGTGATCAAGTATTGTTCAAGTTCCCGCTGAAGATAGGGTCAACTACGCCATCTCCAGGTAAGGGTTTTGGACGGGGACGACCGGCAGCAACAGCTTGTTCGGAGATAGTGCGGTTCTATACCAAGGAAACAGGAGAGGTGATGCACAAGACGGTTAAAAACTTTTTAATATTGCAATTACAGTTTCTGAATTGACTGTCTTTTGGCAGATTGGTAGAATACCGAATGAATGGGCTAGGTGTCTCTTGCCCCTTGTACGGGATAAGAAAGTTAGGATTGATGGGCATTGCAAACATGCTCCTAATAATTTGAGCATCATGGACACCATTATTTTGTCAATTAGGTATGTTCAATAAGTGGGAAAAACCCTTTTGTTGGTATGCATTTATTGTATATGATTGTAAGTAATTACTATATCTTGCTTTTGGTTTCAGAGTATTCATCAATAGCTCAATGTTTCGCAAACGTCACCAGGTTTCTCTCAAGGACGCCACAAATTCCACTGATGAATCAGTATTTCATCCTCTTCCAACCTTGTTTAGGTTGCTAGGCTTGAGCCCTTTCAAAAAGGTGATTGCTGATCTTATGTTATCTGAATCTTTTACCAAGGTTCTTCTGCATGAATGTGACTTATGTGTAAGGAATGAGTTAGCTTCAATGTCATAAAAAGTAATGTATGAGCACAAATAAAGCCGTGCTGAATCTTATACTATTACCTGATTTTTAGGCAGAGTTCACTCCTGGTGACTTGTACTCAAAGAAGCGCCCTTTCAATGAAAAGGTGAAAACTTATCTATATCTGTCTTATGGCCTTGTCTGCCAACATTTTAACATATTACTTTTCATTTACAGGAGGACTCTTCTCTTCAGGCAACATTACTGCACATCAAATCCAACCGTCCTTCTGTGAATGATAATGAGGTAGACAGTGAGAAATCAATATCTGATACTGATCTTGACAAGATTGTTGGTGTTGGAGCTTGCTCAGAGCTAGAGGTGCTTCATTCTAAGAGTATTATCCACTGTTTTGCCTTCATTGTGCTTATAGAAAATTAGATTGTGTAATTACCTGATTGTATTTTTCAGGAAATGGATCCCCCTGGTAGTCTTCAGTGTGAATTGCGGCCCTATCAAAAGCAAGCTCTTCATTGGATGATCCAGCTGGAGAAGGGACGGCCTATGGATGAGGCAGCAACAACACTTCATCCATGCTGGGAGGCATATCGCCTGGCAGACGAGTATGCTTATGGTCATGCTGACTAATCTATGTTTGTGTGGGTATGTAGGCGTGTGTATGTATGACTTATTGATTACCTTTCATTGGATTCTTTGTGATAATACTTTGTAGGAGGGAGCTGGTTATTTATTTGAATGTTTTCTCTGGAGAAGCCACAATAGAATTTCCAAGCACACTTCAGATGGCTAGAGGAGGAGTATGTTTGTTGATTTGTTAATTATGGAGAATGGATCCTCTGAAATTGAAACCCATTAATTTCTCTAAAGTTTACCCTTTTTTTGAGTATTTTCATTATTTCATCTCAAATTTTTTTTAATAAAACACAACACCTTCTCTCTCTTGAAAAGGCAAACTTCAGTATATTCTTGGCCTCAACTTTAGGGGATCCACTCTCTGGATTATTCTGAGTTTCACATATTTGCTTAACATCCGCAACGTATTGATTTTATTGTAATTTTGAAGATTTTGGCAGATGCTATGGGGCTTGGAAAGACCATTATGACCATAGCACTCCTCGTTGCCCATTCAGGCACTGGTGGTTCATCAAGTAGTCAACTCATGGATCAACCCTTGTCTGAAAGTGAAGTTAATGACATGGTGCAAAACTCTTCAAATGTACCTAAGAAGGCAAACAAGTTTTCTAGTTTTGATAAACTGAGGAAGCAAAGGAATGCTCTAACAAATGGTGGCAGTCTGATAATATGTCCCATGACACTTCTAGGACAATGGAAGGTAATCTGTAATTAATTTGTCAATTTTTTAGGATTTTTTTAATAAAAAAAACTGACTTATTATGTAGGTTAGCGGATCACTGCAGGTCTGCATCTTCTTAATTGGTTCTTTGCAGTAGTTGACTTTAATATGTGGGACTATATGCTTTCCTTACCGTTCTGAACATTTAATTTTGTCTTCAGGCAGAGATTGAAACTCATGTGCAGACTGGATCTCTGTCTTTATATGTTCATTATGGACAGAGTAGACCAAAAGATGCAAAAACTCTGGCTCAGAGTGATGTTGTAATTACTACATATGGAATTGTAGCCTCTGAGTTTTCCGGCGAGGTAGATAAAACATGTTTATTCTAAAAGTTGTCAGCCTCTTTTAAGCATCGTCTTTAAAGTTTTAGCCAATGCATATTTATATTCGTCTTATCTATAGAATGCAGAGGATAATGGTGGACTTTTCTCAATTCGATGGTTTAGGGTGGTTCTAGACGAGGCACATACTATAAAATCTTCCAAAAGCCAAATATCGATGGCTACTTCAGCTTTAATTGCTGACAGACGTTGGTGTCTTACTGGCACTCCTATCCAGGTGAGATATCCTAATTATGGCCTATTGCATGGTGCCAAATTTTTTTGTGGTATTTGTGTAGATTTACGAATTAGTGTACCAGGAATGAGCAAGCTTACTCTAATTTCAAGGTCTCACCTTTCATCTAGTCTTTTTATTCACTATTCGTTTGTTTTATGTCCCAAAGAATATGAAGAGCTCAACATATTCTGTATCTTTATTAGCATATATTTGTGTAGTCACTGTAAAATTCTATATATGCATAACTAGTCCTTATTCAAAATCCAATTTAATGTATGATCTCCACTGGGTTGATGTATTGAGCCTTTAGTGGGGATAACACTGCAATTTATGTTGTCATTGTGGAAGGAAGCTGGAATTCCCAGACTTCCATGTAATGCAAATATGTGTTATACCGAATTTGAACCAAAATTTGAATAATCCGGCTGAGCTGACTGCATTATGGCTGTCCTCCGTGCTTTGGTATAATTAAAATGTGTTATAATTATGAAAAAAAATCTTTTTATAATGACATTTCACAGATTTTTGTACCCACATTCTTTGACATGCAATTACTTTCCCATCTATCTGGGTTGCATACTTGCGTGTTTTTCAAGTGTTCACGTGTCATCATAGTTTTCCATGCAGAGACAGCTCTGGATTGTCGTGATATTCATGTGTTGTCAACATTTATCTTTTACACACTTCTACACTGTTTCTTGGAGTCATATACTTGCTCCCGTCTCAAATATCAGCTGGCCTCATTATTGGCTTGGTTTTGACTGCAGACGTAGTCTTTATACTTCCTGACATATTGTTTTTCTATCACAGAACAACCTTGAAGATGTTTACAGTCTTCTTCGATTTCTGAGAATAGAGCCTTGGGGTCATTGGGCCTGGTAAATTGCCTTTTTCTTAATGTTATGCATTTGCATTCTATACTTAGATAATCTTTTGTCCTGTTCTTTCACGTTTCCATTTTTTTTTTTTTTTTTTTTTTGGTTTTTGCTTTTGGACGTAGGTAAACTTTAGCTGATATATTGATTTCCTAGGTATGGGCATACAGAGTATTATACATTCTTAGGAAAATCCTCTGAAGTAGTTTTCAAAGGTTCCCTTTTTAGGTTTGGAACAATGATGACGAAGACTTAATACTTATGCATCAATATCTTAGGTTTAAACTTTTGGAACACTTGTCTCCTTAAGACAAATAATCTGATACCTGGATTGGTTGTGGTGGCATTGACATCTATGATGAACACAGAAAAATTGAAGCTTTATGATTTAAAGTCTTACAAGTATCATGCATCCTGGTCACGTTTTCTGTAAAGTAGCTGAAGTACCTACACCTGAAATTAAACAATCTGTCTGGGCTTTTCATCACTCTGCCTAAGTGACCATTGCTAATTCATCATCTAATTTGAAGAACTTGTTGGTTGGGAAGTAATCTCTTACACGTGTAAGTTGCTTTTACTTGGTGAACTTTGATTGTTAGTTTAAGTGGGTATTTGGTTGGAATGCTGGACTGGGAGGATTTATTGTATTTTGTTCAGGTGGAACAAACTCGTTCAGAAACCATTCGAGGAGGGTGATGAGAGAGGGCTGAAGTTGGTTCAATCCATTCTGAAGCCAATCATGTTGAGGAGAACTAAACATAGCATGGATCGCGACGGCAAGTCAGTATACTGCTCAAGGCCTTAGTGCTACTTTGTATCTGCATCCTATAACTTGCTATTTTTTGCAGGCCTATTATTGTTCTTCCTCCAGCTGAAGTGCAGATAATTTACTGTGAACTCACTGAAGCTGAAAAGGACTTTTATGAGGCACTATTCAAAAGATCTAAGGTACTTGTTATCATCAACTGTGTAATTACCATTCTTACTGTTTTTTTGGCACACTAAAGGAAATTATTGATCGAGATTTATTGATGAATTATGTATTGGAAGAGTTGGTTGTGATTAGAGCACAGTGGCATACAATTCATATAGCTGATCACAATTGGCGGAATAAGTTTTGTTGTTGTGATGTGAAAAATGACTTTTATCCAACATGATATAGGTCAAGTTTGATCAGTTTGTTGAGCAAGGGCGCATTCTTCATAATTATGCTTCCATATTGGAGCTGCTCTTACGTCTTCGTCAATGCTGTGACCATCCATTTCTTGTTATGAGGTCTTACTCCAACTTTTTATTTATGCATTTGATGGTGTTAGTATATGGTATCTGTTAGGCCAGGCCCCTGGGCTGAATAGCTTAAATTTAGATGTCTGATATGAGATAGCTTATCTAATCTATTTATCTGCTTGTAACACTTCAGTTCAGATTGAACAAGATCAATCAATTTAGATACATATAGTAGCAGATGGTTGTAATAGACTTCTGCTGCTAGGACAATTAACAGCTAGCATAGGCTTAGTTGAGGAGTATTATATTTATGCTTTCAGTGATTTTCTCTGTTGA